ACAAATGGGCCAAGGAGAGTTCTTTGGTCAGACTTTCTGTCTTTTCCTGCAGTTCCGCTTCAATCTGAGACAATCTCAGGCGAAGGAGCTCTGCAAGGTTCCACAATGGGCCAAGGCAAAGCATCAGAGAAAACCTTGTATAAATTGGGCCTTCAATCTCTTTTTTTTTTCATCCAAATCCATTTGCAGTTTTGTTTTAGAAAGTCTTCTTTTCTCTCCTTTTTTTAAAATATACTTTTCCTCCTCTGTCTCACTGAATGATTGAACTGTCTTACAATTCTCTCATACTATTGCATAGATTGTAAATGATATAATTTTTAAAGAGTTTGTGAAGTTTCAACAGAGAACAAAAGATGCAATAGAGAACATTCACATGGGCTTACACAACATGTTGACTATATCAAATGCAGTTTAAATAATTCAATTAATGGATGTTAACTATAAAGCAGTGGTTTTTAACCTGGGGTGTGTGCCCCCTAAGGGAGGGGGGGAGTTAGCACTTTCCAAGGAGTGTATGAGCTTTTCAGAAACAGCTTAAATTTCACTAATCATAACTGTTATTCTCTAATGAAAGCAAGGTCAAATAATAAGCTTAATACTAATGAGATTAATTCATATTCACAATAAAAAAAAATATATTCATTTATCTTTTATTTCCTTCTTTTAAATCTGGGAGAAAATTTTATTCATAGATGCAAGAGGTGTGTGGAAGGAAGAGCAAATTCCTAGAGGTGTGGTAGTGAAAAGGTCAAGAACCACTGCAAGAAAGAAAAAGTTATACATAATCAAATGAAACAAATACTTGACTAAAATCTAGAGATGATGATCAAGACATTATCAATGAAATTGTTTAATAGAGAGGAATCGGAATAATTGAAAAGAAATAAAACATCAAAATAGTAAATTGCTGTGGAAGTTAATATCAAGTAAAAATAAATAAATAAAAGTAAAATAAATAAATACATAATCAAATGAAACAAATACTTGACTAAAATCTAGAGATGATGATCAAGACATTATCAATGAAATTGTTTAATAGAGAGGAATCGGAATAATTGAAAAGAAATAAAACATCAAAATAGTAAATTGCTGTGGAAGTTAATACCAAGTAAAAATAAATAAATAAAAGTAAAATAAATAAATTTTCAAGTAAAAAAAGAAAAGAAAAGAAAAGAAAGAAAGAAGAAAAGAAAGAAAGAGAAAAAAAAAAAACTTAAACATAATATTACAGAAAAGACTTATTTTAAATTATGACTACCTTGTAACAATGTATCCAATAAAGAGATGCAAACATGCACACATCAACCAAAACAGAGAGGAAGCATTTTTGCATAAAACCCACATGTAAATCATGCAGAATTTCCTCAGTAAGCTGTATCCCTAGCCTGTTTGAATATTTGGGTTCAAAATCTTCCGGAATGGACAAATGAACCTCAAAATCGGATCTTTATCTTGAGCTAGTGTCATCATTTTTTATCTACACCTGAAATGCAATCACCTATGGGAGATTAAAGAAAAGAAGTCTCATTCCTTTCAAACACTTTCCTTTTCTTTCCACAATCAATAATTATTACTTTCAAGAACCAGCCGCACTCACACTTGTGACTTGCTTCATCATCAAATGCCTCAATCTTTCTTATGTAACTTGATTTAGTAAAAAAGTACTTGTTTCACTGTTTCACATTCATTCCATCACATGACACATGAAAATCAGGAACAGTTGAGTAATAATAATAATAATAATAATAATAATAATAATGATAATAATAATAATAATGATGATGATAATGATAATGTTAATGTTAATGTTAATGATAATGATAATAACAATAGTAACAATAATAATAATAATGATAATAATAATAACAATAATAAATCTAGAAACAATTTCTATTCTTTCTAGGTTGGTTTTGTTTATGAACAGGGAAGATTGCTTGTTAAGCTTTCTCATTATGTCTGGATATGACAATTTAGTTTACAATTTGAGAAGAAATTCGACCATGGTAGATATACTGCATTATTCATATTCCCAAAAATTAGCTTTCAGAGATCTTGATCTGTTTAACTGCAACAAATTTGTGCATAAAAAATGCTATGGACAGGAACATGAATCAATAAAACATATTGAATAACAGCAGCAAATTGGATGTGTAGAAAACAGCAAAGCTTATTCTATACATAAAAACAGCATATAGCAGAAGCTCTCTGCATGATAATTAATCAAAATGAAAGTAAATAAAAGAAAGTTCATGTATGGTCCTAAGTACTTCCTATTTAATTTCACCAACACTGTTTTAGTTATTTTCTATCATCATATTCATTACCTACAAGTTAATCTTTATTAGATATCACTTTGCACCCAAGTGACCAGCTGCTCATATAAGCCTAATGCCCATATTTTGGTCCATGTGATTGCAGTGAAGCAACTGGATCCAAGGGGTTAATTATAGCTACAGGTAACTGACATGAGTAAATAGAGCTTTTATCAACTGATACTTTATATGAATTAAAGAAAATATGATCATATCTGTAAAATGATTATATAATGCATAAACATTTAAGCTAAATCAACTAATCAACTTGTAAATGTTATGAAAAGGGAAAAGGAAATGTAAGCAAAAGTCACTTATATCATATATTTACTCACTTTTGAATTTCTGTTCATGTATCTTTATAATTATCATATTCATTTTAGAACATTCATTCTTTAGGGAGAGTAAGCTGTAACATTCAATTAAGAAAACAAGCTATAGAATTTCCATTTTTTCATAACCTTTCAAATATCTAAAAATATGTGACAAAGTTTGATTAGAACCTTTTTGACATGGTTTATCTAACAACAGCATTTATATAATTATATCTGAATGCATTACAGTGTTACCAGATAAAATCCAAACTTGATACTTTTAGGGTGGCTGTGTCTTTATTCACCTACCTATACCATGTTGCCTTTATCACATTATATAAAACCAAGGCTAGGAGACATAGAATACAAAGACTCGCATTCAAACCAATTACAAACATAAATTATGCCTGGAGATCTAGTATGTACTTTCATTCTAATATGCCTAAAAAATAATATGCTTCCTGAAAATACTATTAAGTTCTACTAACACATAGTTAATTAACATTACTTAGCAATTTAGTCCATATTCTTGTATATTCAATATAGTACTGTACGAGATTGTGTGATACGATACAGCCTTTCTCAATGCATTTATGGTTTATTCATAGAAAATGCACAGCAAACATCCCAGCTGTTTATCATTGTCCATTTCTTCTGAACAGAATTTCTGATTGACCAACTAATGATTACTCCACAGCCTCTGAGCCAGTTAAAATGACAAAAGGCATAAAAATGGCAGCATACGCCACATGCAGACTACTGTTGTGCTTGTTTTCATACCTGGTTTGAGGCTTTGATATAGACCTGTATGGCATAAAGAGGCCTTAGTGCAATTTTCTTCTCCTTTTTTTTTGTTTGTTTTATCTATTCATTATTATCTTTTTTATCAGGAGACAGAGTTAACCCTATGCTGAAAGGAATGCCTATAGCTGTCATGATTCACACTTGTGCTGCCGTGCTGGAGCTGGCCCGGTTGAACAAAGCAAAGATTTGCAGGATGCTCTGACAGTTTCCAAATAGGCAGCAAATTTTCAGCATGGCCCTAGACTGAGCTATTTGTCTGCTTTACACAAAAGCTGAGATCTGATATCCAATAGATGTGTGAATAAACAATATAAAGAGAAGAGAAACCTTAACTTTGAAAATGGAAATGAAAAACTGAAAAGAAGACACTTTAGCCCAACTAAATAAATAAAATGTATATCTTGTGTAAAGTACAGCAGAGACGCAAGTAAGCATGTGGAAGTTTATATATAATTCTATAACTGAAACCAAACTCAGCGTTAAATCAATCAATATTCTCATCCACAATATAGAACAAAATATTGCAACTAGATTAATATTAGCATATTCTCAATAGAAAGAAAGAAAGAAAAAGAATATATTAATTATATATATATATATATATATATATATATATATATATATATATATATATATACTCTAAAAAAGTTGTCATACTGTACAATGATGATAATAAAAAAAAATGCTCAAAAAGAAAAAAAGAAACATGAAGAAATAAAAGAAATCAAATGCAAAGCAAAAGGGCCGGCAATATTACCTGCTTTCTCTCGCTCTTTCTCTGCTGCAGACCCCATTGCAGAGAAGGAAATTGCATGCTGTTTAAGATCTGAGGAGAAATCTGAAATCAAAATTGGGTCATTAGAGACTAGTCTTACATTTTTCCTTTTCTTTTTTTTTTCTTTAGTTCTTGCCAATTCATCCATTTTCATATCTTCCACTTTAAAAGGTATTATTTGGCATGGATAGGATATTTCCTTTCTTTTTAATTGCTACAAAATCTGAAACTACAAAGGTACAAAAAAAAAAAAAAAAAAAAAAAACGAAGTGGATTAAATAATACATTTTCAAAAGCAGTTAAAACTGAGAAAAACAGAATAAAATCAAACCACATAAAAAAATAAATCACACGAAAAAAGGTACTAAAAAGTTTTTTCACAATTACTGTGGATTAAAACACACGCAAGCATGACAATTAACATCTCTGTTATCATTCAACATTTCACAAAATCAAAAAACCTATGTGTTCTAAAGGGAGGTTTGTTTTCTTCTTCACAGAGAAGAATGAGTGTGCAGAATGCAAGACTGGAAGCACAAGGTTGGAATCCCCTTTATCTGCTGCAGCAGCCACTCACCAAGAAAATAGCTTCAAGGAAGGACTGAGGAATATATACAAACCAGGGATGGGAAAAAAAGAAAAAAAGTCTGAAAACAATAAACTATATAGATAAATAAATATATATCTTATATATATCTTATATATATATATATATATATATATATATATTTATATACATATATACATAAATATATATATATATATATATATATATATATATATATATATATATATATATATATATATATATATATATATATATATATATATATATACATATACATATATATACATATATATATATACATACATATATATATATATATATATATATATATATACATATATAATATATATACATATATATATATATATAATATATTATATATATAATATATTATATATATATATATATATATATATATATATATATATACATATATATATATATATATATATATATATATATATATATATATATATATATATATACATAGTCACATAACATAAAATAATATAACAGCAAGTGCTTAGTCTTGGTAAAAACCATTTTCTTGGTCAATGCAATCTCAATCAGCTTCAGAAGTATCTTTACACTCCTAAAGATTTTGTTTCCTTAACAATTTAATCCACATATTACAGATTAGTAATCAGATACACAGTGGTCATCATGCTTTTTACAACCTTGTGACAGCTGCTACTGCCTTTAAAAACAGGAAAATAACAATAATCTTAGGAGTAATAAAAAAAAAAAAAAAATACAAAGCACCTTAACAAAGGGAGAGAGAGAGAAAAAAAAAATTACAAGATAAAAACTACTCTAGTTGGCAGCCACCTGACCTCTTCCATCTTGTATTCTACACACCTTTCAACATTGGCGTGAGGGAATTAGCCATCCCGGACAAGGTAAGGAACTCGCCTGGAGGGGAGAATGAGAACAAACCGTAAATCATGGTAGAACTGACATGTTTTGTGTTAGGATTGACAGCAGGGTACATGAAAGGGTTAATACCACAAGCGTTAAGCAACAGGGGCCAGCAACCTCAGCTTCAAATGATGAAATTTAAACCACTTCATGGAATGCTGAATGCACACACTAATATCACATTTGATTTTTTTTTACAAGTCCATTTAAAAACAAAACACACACACATACTTATGGACAAACGCACACACACATTCACAAGAAAACAGAAAAATAAAGAAAGAGAAAAACATAGGCCAGGTAGTTCAATAACAGGTTTAGCTGGCAGAAAAATTTGATACATGATTAAGTACTAAAACAAGTTGTATAATAATAAAATCTTATATCAAAGCAGTTAGGGAAACATGTCTAAAGTAATGCACATTCCTGTCAAAAAGCAGGAAAAAATAACAATAATAGTTCACATATAAGTGCAAACAAAATGTTGCTAAAATCATATGTTATACTTAAGCAAAATATCATTCTATTTAGTCTATATATTTTGTTTATAAAGACAAACAATGTAGCATATAAACCAAGTTCATTACAAAGCTAATGTAAAAAAAATCTATAAAAGTTTCATTAAGCTCTTCTCTACATCTTGAACAAGCTCAGTATATCTGCATTGTATTATTGCATACAATAATTATGCAACTTCTATCATTTATCCAAAGAGTTTTTATTTGACTAAATTCAGTCATTTTCATATATCTTGCGAGTCCTGAAGTTTGAACAGAAGGTTCAGGAAGTTATTTTTTTCTTCTTCTTTCCAGTAATGGAACTGAGGGCTGCCTGTATCCGGTGCTTTCAATTTATTATTCTTTTTTTTACATATTATAACACAATAAGATCAGATAAAGTAACACATTTTTGGGGTGCAATAATGTTAATTACATTGCATTCTACGGGATATAAAAATCTGAGAACAGAGAACCTTTAGTCTTTAACAAAAATGATATAACTTATAAAATCTAATTTCAGTGCTTTATTAAAAATCAGAATGTCACCTTTCCTTGGAACTGACGCCAGTTACAAACTTGTTCCTCAAAACTACACAACCATCTATCAATAATAGCTTCAACCTACAGTATTTGTGTAAATTACAAGAGAAAGAGAATAAATACAAAGGGGAAAAGAGAGAAAAATTTAGAAAAACAGCAAATCTTAAAAAAAAGAAAAAGAAAATGTCTTTAAAATGCAGCAAAATATTTTGAAAAAAAAAAAAAAAAAAAAAAAAAAAAGTAAAACAAAAACATACACACAGTTCTACCAGTGCTGCATCATCAATATTATTAATAGACAACACATACCATCCTCTTCCTTACCATCCGTGAAGAATCCTGAACCTTCAGTTTTTTCCTCTTCCGCTGCCTTGATTGCATCATCGAGCCGCTCCTTGAACCAGAGCACCAGCTGATCATATTTCGACTCCCCGAGCTCCTTGAGCTTTGGATCTGAGAAAATTAAGTATTTTGGCAATGAAACACATGGTGTATGATTGTCTGGATGGTATATATGATGAAACTTCTTGTACAATGAAGGAGAGAATAATATTGGTGAAGACAAAATAATAACTAATCGGTATCTATTATTTAATCTATGAAAGTGAATCCAATATCATATAAGCTTTACTGATATTTATTTATCAGCCTGCTATTGTTACATATAAAAAGCTGACGGATATAATCACCAAGAGTAAAATCTGGGACTGAATCCTTGATCTTGTCCCTGTATGAAATGAGAGCTGTCCTGATGGCATCCAGCTCCTCCTGAGATGGCATTAGTTCCTCCAGGAACTTTGTGTCTGGCAGAGCCTCCTTCCACTGCTCATAAGTCTGGGGAGTGCAAGAATGACAAGATGAGTAGAAGTTATTAGTGTTTGCTTTAATTGCTGAAAACTTGCTTATAAGAAATATTTTGCATAGTTCTGAAATGGTGTCCGTGCATTCATATATAAATACATGGAAAATTTAGTCTTACAAGCTTTTAATAAGTAAATGATATATGTTCTCCTTGATCTGACATTTTACTTTTACATTATCTATGTTAATCATAAAAAAATAGATCAAACTGTCTAACCAAAATTTTCTCATTGGATCAATTTCATAGTTATTTTTAAATAAATGCTACATTAGGATGTCATACTTTTTAGGAGGAGGAGGAGGAAAAGGAGGTGGGTAAAAAAAAAAAAAAAAAAAAAAAAAAAAAAAAAAAAACATGGATGAGGAGGAAAAGAAAGAGGAGGAAGAGGGAAAAAGAGGAAGGGGAGGAGGGGGAAAAAAGAAGAGGAAGGAGGGAAAAAAAGAAGGGGAAGGAAGAACATACAAGTAGAAGACAAAAAAATCTTATACCTTGGCCAAAGCACTGCCACCTGCAATGGTGCCACCCAGCAGAAGGTAACGTATCTTGAGAGCCCCACGAAGCACCCTAGCTACAATCATGCCAATCCCTCGAGAAGGAATGCCATAATTAGGTCCAGGGAATTTCAGTAGATCTCCTCTCAGAGGTCGCAGGGAGGAGTAGTGACGTACAACTGGAACAACCACTGTTCTGACCTGGGAAATGTTATATACATTGCAATTAAATTGTGAAGAGAAATATACATATTAATAGTAATAATAATAATAATAAAAATAATAACAATTATTATAAATAATTCACCACTTTATATGCCATCTTTATCTATTTTTTATATGTACTGATAATCAGGCTTATATTCATTGCACACATGTCAAATTTCTTTTATTTTATATTGCCTTTTACTTCCCTTTAGATTCCAACTCTACAATAAATTAAATAAAACATTGTATCTTATTGAACCAAATATAACATCCATCATTCTGGTTACCTGCACTATAGTGATATCAGTAAAATACACCACACAGTTCCACTACAGTAAAGCCTCACATTTGGTGAGTAACAGGCAATGTAAAAAGATGCTTAACAAATGCAAATAATATAACTTTTTGGAATATATATAACAATTTCTGGAAGCAGCATGTCTCCAAGTAATTTCATTTGACACTAATAAAGAAAAAAGAAAATAATAATAATTTCTTTGTGCATCAATCTCATATATCAAGATATGACATCAAGGGCAACTGTTGGGTTTGTCTTAATCATAATCCTTAATTTCAAGATAATGAAAGTGAGATTACTATTGAAACTTTTGTCTTCAAGCACTGCATTTCAAACACATTTGCTTACTCTCTCATTATGTATCTTTCAAACTTCTTTATTTTTCAATACTCTTGCTATTTCATTTCACTTTTACGTTTACCTTTACTCATCTTATCATTGCTATCAGTCACTGGCTGGCTTGCTCCCTCCTCACAATTATTTACATATGACCAATCATTAAAGCAGGCAGGTGGGAGTCATAAGGTGAGACTGATTTAATTATGATTTTATAAATAGCATGGGTGCCAAAAGGGATTTTTTAGCAGCCACATGCAATATATAGTAGCAGACTGTAAAGGTTACTAAATGTAAATTTGCCTAAAGAATACAATTTTATGGTATCCAAATAACCAAATGGTAGCTATCACAGAGACCCGAGGACTGCCAGCCAGTTTGTATTTCGGTAATTGTTGAAGACCGCGACGCACCCTCGCAGAGACTAAGTCGAAAAAAATGATGTTTTTCTGCATGAAATCCTATGATTTCATCGATTTTCGCCGTTGTTTCTTTTGCGAATGAATCGTTCAGGAGATCGAGTACAATTTCTCCATCGACGATCTTGATTTGATAGTCCCGTTAGCAGGGGAGGGCATGAAGTATATCAGGGAAATTATGGGGTAAAACAAGCTTAAATAAGAAGAATAACTATCAAAAAAGCGTAAAACTAGCACAAAAAGCGCTTAAAATCGGCCAATGAAACTCTACGGATGTAACCGCCATCTTTGAAAGTTTACGGACTGATGCGAAATAAATCAAAAACTCTATGGGAACCCAACCCACATTTCGGCAAAAACTCTACGGTAATTCACACATTCCAACCCCCAAAAACGTATTGACTAATAAACCAACCAACCTAGTATATCAATATAAATTGCCGTGACTAGGCGTGCCCTTCGGGCACTGCCCAAGGGGAGGGTTGATGGGGGGCAAGCCCCCAAACACCCCCCAGGACACATTCTCTCCACCACGGTATGTACGGCAAGACAGAGCTGCATTCACACCGTAAAATAATAAACCAAATACTTTTATATCCGGAAACGTGAAACTTTCGTTTCTTTGTACTGTTGGTATTGCTTCGATTTTAATCACCTTTTTCGTCCTTTGGAGCTCTTGATGGGCTCAGATATAAAACTGGGATGGTTACTGAAGTCTAATTATTCTTCGATGCCACTGTAAAGGTCTTAAAAAGAACCCAGAATCAACACAACACTGCAAACGCAACATTTCTCACCGGCTTTCAATCTCGAAATGAGCGGGTTGGTGAGCTGTCAACCTGTGGCTGGCGCAAGAAAGTGTGAAACACTCGATGCGCAGGATTCGATATGAGGGTATAGATAAATATAAAAATATGCAAATGAAGTATAATAACATTACTAAAAGACTTTAAAGGTATAAATGCGTACCAGCAGACACAGATAATTAGCCAAATATTGTTTTGACAAGCACGTAATGATACACAGACTAGTTCGCGACCGCAAAAATGCGTTCGTGGGTCAGTGTCGTGTTTTTCCTAGCAAGGTAAACAAGCTCATCGACTTTGAATTTGAAAGGCGGCCGCGCGTTATATTTTCGTCATTTAGCGGTGACTATAAGGCCGGTGCATCTTAAACTATACGCTATCCCCTTATATTTTTCCCGCTCTATAAGATGGCGGTGTCCATTTTCCTCTATCTACGCGCGTCGCGGTCTTCAACCTCTACCTGTATTTCTTTGGTTAGTAATACAGATAATATGTTACAATTAGAAAAACAGATGGACAAAATATGAAAGAAAGAAATATCTACATAGTTTTCCCCATTACCTAATTTTGGTCATTTTAGTTTTGGATATGCACAGAGTGCAAGGGAAATTACATATACATATCTTTGAATGAACTCAGACATTTTTCTTCTGAAAACCAATAAACCCCCACCATATACTCAATTTACATAAAATTTGGAGAGTTCCTTATTTCGTAATAAGTCACTTCAGGGGCATGCAAATCTTATAAATAATTACATGGCCATGGTGAAGAAAGATACATCATAGTCTTGTTTCATTCATCTCTTATGCAAGATAAGCCATATAAATTTTATTTTAACCCACTTATGATGGCTGTCAAACATATCAGACACCCGGAAAAGTAAACATTACAGGGTGTCAAGCTGGTGTGATGTTTGGTTGGAGCTCGTGCTCTGATTTTGTTGCCCGTGGTGGGTGGCAGGCGGGCAAGTTCCCGGACTTGCCTATGCGCTGATTTTGAAACCGCCCGAAAAATATTATTTTTGGCTTGAAAATGTACTGTCGCTAGTGGGTTAACTTAAATTTTGAACGAGAAAAATAAAATAAAAATAAATAAATTTGTGAAAATGGTGTCATAGCTGAGAAATGACTTGGAATTCCTCAATCTATTATAGAATATACTGCTAATATGATAGTGTCTATAATTGCATACTGTTTTTGGCAGGAAGTTCTCAATTTCAGTAATATGTGAACATTTATTCATTATAAAATCAATATTTATGCTTCTATCTTCTCACCTTTTCGTGATCTTGACGTGATGTAAGCATTTGCCGAGCCCATCTTGACTGGCTAACTCCAACAACTCTTATAATGTAACTGAAAAAAATAATAGCTATTAACTATCAGCAGCTATCAAGATGATAAAGATATACAGGATATATAGGTTACACCCAGCTCCCAAAACTCTTATTACATGACTGAAAAAAGATTCTCCAGCGATTATCACAGACAGACAAGGTAAAAAAGAAGAAGTAATATCTTTCTACAGATAAACACAATAACTAAATCTACATATATGGTAATTCTAGAGGAATTGGAATTTTTCATCTTTTGTTCATTATACATACATACATACATACATACATACATACATACATACATACACACACACACACATATATACATTATATATATACACACACACACACACACACATATATATGAAAGAATGCCATCCAAAACGCACACACTACCACTAAGATCATAGTATGTACCATAAAGCTTCATATATATATATATATATATATATATATATATTATATATATATATATATTATATATATATATATATATATATATATATATATACATACATACACACACACACACATAGTAGAGAGTGAGAGGAATTCATCAATATCATTATCATAGTGACTGGTCATGCAAAAGTATTCTGAATATTCCCCAATTGCTATAGACAGGCATTTTAATGAGTGAGACACGAATCCAAGGATCAGTCACTGAAGGTTTGATCATGCACTGTCAAACAAACACAAATATACAAAAAGGACAGTGAATGAACCAAAGTCTCCTCTCCCAATTTCTATGTTTGCCAGGCCAAGGGCTTTGTACCTATCCCTTCCTTATTACCACACTTCCTCTCCAAAGGTCTTCCAATATCTATATTTCAGTACATTTGTAGATAGTGAAGGGTAACAGCAGAAGTGGTCCAGAAAGCAATGAACCTCTGATTTACATGGGGTTTTGCAGGGTGATTTCACTCATAGCAGGCATTTTAAAGAGTTGCAGAAGTGAAAAATCTGAAAACTGGAATCGTACTTCATATGATAAAGCAAGTGAAAATTAAAAAAATAAAAACCAAGACTTTGCCATGTAAGCTTCAACAGGATGTGTGAACGAACAAGCAAATGAATCCCATCCAAAACGCACACACTGCCACAAAGATCGTAGTATGTACCATAAAGCTTCATAACTCATGCTTTTAGCCTTATAATGCCTACCCAATCCCAAGACCCCTCCCACTCGCCATATTACCCCAAATGAATGCTCCATCCCAGTGCACACCCAATTAACACTAATTGTACATTCAAAGACTGAAACTATTCCAAACTATGTTTAAAGTCTTGGTGACACACACACAATTTGCATAGAGGCAGCACTGACTGGTATAATGCCAGTGGTAGACATTACCAAATTACATTTCATTTGCTGGGGAACCAAAGACCGAATCTCTAAAATATGTTTGAACATAGAATATACCAGTATATATGGGATCTGTAATTCCATTTTATAATATCCATGATCCATATCTAAAAGTTCTTGATGCTAGAAAAAACTACAGATTAGCTAATAAACCTAAAAGAAAAATTTGATACAACAGGGAAAGGGCGTTTGAATCTCGGTGCGGCTTTTCGCCCACATCCTCTCTACTTACAGTGACAGACTCAGATAATAGTATCAGTCTTCCTCTTCTATATTTTGACACTAAAAACTACTCTTGTTGAACGTAATCAATACTGTTGTAATCTTTCATTTCACGGATGTTTCTGATGATACTCTATGGCATTATTATCCCTAACTAGAAAAAATATATTACAATTAAACTAGAGAAAATACAACTTTCACTTTCATCATGAGTGTCCATAGCAATATTCTTCACTTACCCGAATCTTCCCTTCACAAGTTTTTGCATAGTTATTTAGCCAATAAAAATAATATGACGAAACATTGACTATTTCTCCATCGGCTCAGCAGCTGATCTTCTGCTGCTGTAGAATCTTGACCGTATACTCGGGTCGCATAACAGAGAAAATTATTTTTCATGTGATCTATGCCTGATTATCTGTAATTCATTGACTTTCAAAAGCTTTTAATTAGTCTCTAATTATATTTACTTTAAATGACATGTTATATATTTATTATCAAGCAAGAGGTTTTGAAAATAAGATTCCTTTCATGAACTTGATATACGGATAATCCAAACGGTAATCCGGGTAAAGTGAAACACACCGATATTATATACTCAAAAGATTGGGAGAACACAATATGCTTTTATGATTAACAATGAAAATTATCCATATAGTGTACCTAATACAGCAGTAGAAGTTTTTGCAACCACTTGCTACTAGACGCTGAATCCCATACTTTACTCTGATTGGTTAAGTCCTCGTGACGTCACAGCTGTATCCTGTGTTTACATTTTTCAAATTGAACAAGATAACACGCAAAGGAAGTGTATTCGAGTTATTTTGAAATTCAGGACTCCTAAATACGGTAAAGACTTCTCAGTTGGTAGCGGAAGGTACTGTAGTAAGTGGGATAGCCATGAGGGACTAAAGAAGAAGTAATCAAGACTATAAAGGTATTTTCGCCTAATTGCTCGTGCTGCGTGTGTAGAGAAAGGTGTTGAGGTGATTACTTTGCTTTGGTTAATCTGGTAATGGCAGAACTTATACTTTGTTTTATAAATATCAAAGTGCTTTGTAATCAGTCCCTACGCAGTTCTTAATTAGGTTACCTAATATGTGTAGATAAACCGTCGAGGATAGTTATCGTTTCGCGAGTACTGGTTGCTGGCAGGAAGGTTTTAACTGGTACCGGCAGCAGTGTTAACAGAAGTATATTTTGTCGTGAGAAGTAACATTTTTACTATTTGTTCGCTGAGTAAGGCCATTTAATGTCTGACTTCAATAATTAAAACATTTATTTAATCCCATAGTTATGTAAAACACACAAGCAAAAAGACAAAATGTGTGAGTATTTTTATTTTCTACTGATATCAACGGCATTCTTGAAAATCAGTTGTCCTGTTCAGAAGATGAGATTTAGAGTAATTTTTCAAGTGCATCATTCTTTAGAGGTTACAATGTCTTCATTGAGATATGGTGTTGTTTTTAGACACTAAGGGTAAGGCAAATGTGTACACCATGCCCTTTTATTGCAGACTGAGTGGCAACAATGGGTAATTTCACAAGCAAGCACCTAGAAGAGGTTCTGAAGCCAACAAAATCACAAGAAACACCCAAGTCACAAGTTTTGCCTTTTGACCCTCGCTCACCATCAGATGACATCACAAGAACACCCATAGCTGTAAGAACCTGTGCTGATATGTATTGCAACTGATATTAATGTAGAGATCTGTAAATGTGCTCAAGGTTTGTTAGGCTATACTAGAACACTAACAAGTGCAGATGCTACTGCAGGACTTGTAAATGGTTTGCCAACAGTACCATTCCCTAGCATATTAAGTATCATTCGTGCCTTAGAATTACTCTTGCCTTTTATGTTTTGAATGCATGTTACATTATGCAACTTAACTACCTCCCTTTTATGGTTTGAATGCATGTTACATTATGCAACTTAACTACCTCCCTCCTAGGTCTCAGACACCCCTGACACCAGCAGTTCAGAGTCAACACCCAGAGATGGAAAGGTTGTTAGAGTTTTACAGCTTGATCCTCGATCTCCAAATGTTGAAGTAAGTTGTGTGCATTTCAGAATGATGATGTAGAATCTCCAAATCCAGAAATACATATTATGCAATAAGTATTAGGTAATAGGTACTTTCCCCTCTTATTGTTTTACTAAATTTCAAAACAGTTGTAAGTACCTTAGTCACTGCTTTATTGATATAGACAAAAAAAAAATTAATTTCAGGTGAGTCGCACACCTATTGTTATTGAAACCAATGAAACTCGCCGGAGAAACTATGCCCTAAAACCATCCAAGCTTGCACAACTTGACACTGAAAATAAACCTGACAACATGGAAGATGGTGAAGATCAGGACCCAAGATCACCTACCACCAAAGTGCCAAGAACACCTCTTGAAGATAAAGTTCATGGTTTGTTACAACTTCATGGTTGATTTTATTTTGTTATGGTAAAATATTAAGAACTGGACAGTGTGCTTTTCCTTATGATATTTTTCTTTTACTTACATATGTAACTACTATTATTGTTGTTATTATCATTAATAATATGTTCTGTTTCCACAATGCAGTCTTTGAAGACTCACAGCCTGTGAAAGAAAACAAGGAAGATGATGATAGAAAAGAGGAAGAAGTAAAAGATGAAAACCCCAAGAAGAATCAAGAGAATACACTTGTTAAGAAGCTCTTCATTGATGAGGGATCTTCAGAAAAGGTATGAAAGTGCATGAATGAAGGTAAGGTTGCCTCTTTCAGGCTACATTCCACTAGGATAATTTTAAGATGCTCATGGGGGCTTATCTATTTTGATCAATAAGATATGTGAAACTGTTGAGTGAGATTCATTAATTTACAGAATGCTGTTTTTGTTACATACTTTTTGGTGTAGGCCTAACTTCATTGTATATGTTTTAATGTTCAAGGATATTCAAACATGGCTAGATTTGAAGAGATATGTATGGAGTTTATAAAGGGACACAAATTAGTTTTACCAATACTTGCTGTATATTTTGTAATATATAAATAGTGTGTATTTTCTGTGATTATCAAGCAAAGAACTTGATGCAACCAACTTTGCATTTCTAAAATGTGTATGTTTATGTGATATTGTTTTAAAGTGTTTGTCTTCAAAGTAGAAGCTCTTTAGAGCTTTAACTAATTGTATATTTAGGTTTAAAAACATTGTTTACCTACTTCTTTTTATGCATGTAAATCCTCAAAGGACCACTAAGTTGAATCATATTCAAATCTACAAATTTTGGATAAATTCATAGTTTATAATCAGCTGATCCTCTTTATGTTTAAAACTAATAGAAAAAGGACTACTGTTATGTAAGGAAATAAATATATGCATTTATGTTTGGTCTCAGCCAAGGCGCCCACTTGCCTCTGTCCAGAACACCACAGCTGGCAAGACCCCTCGTGGACTCATCCAAGCCAAACAATGCAGAAATGTTGAAGAGGAATACAACAAGAACCATCAGCTCATCCTCACACAGTTGACAGATCAAGAAAATACTGTGACATCAAGCACACAGTTTGTAGAGAGTATCTAGAAGCTTCTTACTATTAATTTTTTTCCCCTTTTATGTCCTATGACTTGTTATTATTGATATTCCTTTTTTATTATTATTTACTGTTATTCCTGAGCTCTAATGTAATGATACAACATTTTGTGTCTTCCTTTTTCTGTCACTTTGTGGTTTAATGCTGGTTATGCCCAACTACATGCTTAAGAAATGAATGCAATAACTATATAATATACAGTAATAATGTGTTAACACATCTGGTAATGAGGCATTAGGTTAGCTTTTTAGTTAGGTTATTTCATTTACAAATTTGTATTTCTGTTATTAAAAAGGAGAAATGTACTTACATATTTTCTTTTAAATGGGCAACTTAAACTGTAACTTAGTATTTTTATCAGTTTATCAACATGAACTTTTGAAAAGCTGGTCTATATCAGTATACAAGATTGCAAGATTTCATGTAAAAAATTATTACTTTTTATTTAGCCAGATATGTAATGGAATTTTTTTCTTGGGTATAATGTGTCCTTTTATTGGTTGGTGCTTGGGTTTGTTTTCATTTATGCTTTTAAATTTTATCATACTGTTTGTAGATGGAATAGTTCTTTTAGTTGCAAATTTCCTTTCTTAACAAGTAGGCCTATGTATGGTTGTGCCAAGGAAAGAAACTAGTCCTCAACTAATATAACTTCTTTAATCTATCACCTGGATCCTAACAGTTTATTCTGTTGTATGCTGTTTCCTCTTTTAATACTCATGCTGCAGTAAGCAAAATGTAAATATTTGGAAATGTGAATAAACTTTTCATTGTTTAAATGTAACCTTTTACAATATCCTTTACAACAAGATTACAGTAATGAGAAACTTCATGAAAGGACAAAGAAGCCACCGAATAGTCTTTATAAGGAGGGTGAGAAAACACTTTAGTTCAAAACTTCATGTAACACTTTTATGTCAGGAAACATCTCCATACTTCAAAGATTGTTACCTTTCTGACATATATTCTAAAATATTCTGTTTAAGA